TCCGTTTTCGGGTGTATGGGGTATGGTAAGTGTTAGGTGTGCACCTATACATGCATGACAATTGGAAGTATGAACAACCCTTCATAACGATGATGTAGTATAGTTCCCTATATAATGTAGCCAAATAAATGTGATTTTATTATTTACTTATTTGTTTTTTGATTCAGTTATCTATTATTTGTAAATGTACAAGATATATGTTTTGATGTGTGTGAAAATTTTATATATTGTATGTATTACGCTGTATATCATGATATTTATTTATTGAGATAGTGCATATCACTCCCTCATTATTCTCAAATCCTGTATAGACCGTTGAGGAGTAATGGATAATAGTAGGGAAGTCTTTTATAAGTTAGGCTCTATAAGAACCTAAATCACTATTTTGTACTTCTGTTTTGTAATATAAGAAAGAAAAAGATTTAAAACCTCGTTTTGTATGTATCTAATGTACATATATCAAGGGATGCAATGCTTCTGTACGTTTGTATGAATAAAAGTTTCATTATATTTTATTTAATTAAGTGTAAAGTGTAGTGCACTCCGGACATGCCCTACAAGAGAGTGGTGACCGTGATATTTACTTTCCTAAATATTATGTTATCTGCAAATAACATATGAATGATAACAAGAGTTGATTGATAGATTTTTATCCTATTGATTCGTCATTGTAATTATATTTTTCTTAACATGGTTGAAAATACGCATACACATAAAATAAAGAGGTAAAAGAGAAAAAATGTCATTGTCAGATGCCCCCTATCTAGATATAACAATTGTGAAGCTTTTTATTTACCAAAATAAGATAGGAAACAATAGTAACACATTCCATAATTAAGAAAACAACACTTTTTGTAAAACCCAACTTTAAGATCATCTGGTTTATAAAAGGCCAAGTCACTTTGTCATACGCTTTGTTGTCATGTTTTAGTGCAGATGATCCCTTTCTTGTCTTAGTTTATGTTTTCATAAAGTGGAAAGTTCCAAGGCTATTAAGACATTATCATTAATATGTCGCCTTGGAAAAAATACTAATTGAGATGGATGCACAATGTCATATAAAACAACTTTTAATAAGGTTTTAACGCGTTTGACTATCGGTTATATGACTATGTTACATAAACTCATGAGTCTATTATAAGATGGAGTCTTAAATTATTTGACTTTGGTACTAAGATGATAAAAGTGTGATTATATTATACAATAAAGCTTTATGATTTAAGAAATTTAATAACAAAGAGATAGCATCAAATGCATATCACTTCATTTTTTATTTTTTTTAAAAAGAATGGGGACATAATGTTTAGGCCAAGAGCTTTAATGAGGTGTATTTTTTGAGGGTAATGTCGACCTCTGTTAATTTATAGGGTTCGAAGGCCTAAAAATTCATTAGGGGAGTAATCTTTCTTTTTCACACATTCTAACATTGAGTTAATGTCCATGCAGCCATCAACTTTAAAGGTGGAAGCAAGGTGATTCATGAAAGCCTTCTTAATGAATATTCTTTCTATCATCCATTCATCTGATGCAAGTTTTACTCCATTTATTCTATTTCTCATCTATCTTATGGTTGCCCTAATATGGAAGAATTTCGTGTTACGATCTCTCCATCTCAACTAGTCTACTGTAACATGTTGAGCTCACATGACTTTTTCCTTTCTATAAAGTTCATCTAATTCAAATTTTCAGTACTTTAGTTAGTGCAAGCATTTAAACACATCCCCAACACCCTTATAATCTCATTAATGAGTTTTAAGTATAAAGATTTTAATATATATATATTTTTTTACAAAAATTATCACCCTTGCTTCCCATTGCTTCAAAGCAGTAGTATGAGAAACAATTTTCTACCCGAGTGCACAAGCCATTTGAGAGACATTATTAGCTCAAGATTGTTTTATCATTTCGGTACACAGCGGCTCTTAAAATCAAAATGCCTCACATATGAATAATTTTAATAGAGTAAATTAGAGTAAACTATCATTTGAAAAAATTTAGAATAAACTAAAATAAA